AAGAGATCTTGTGTGATTAGTTGCTTCTCCTTGCTGCTTTCCAAGATTCTCTCTTACTTTTGCTTGCGTCCATTTGACTATACTGGCGTCTAATGTGACTCTCCTAGAATTTCTCCTGATTAGAGATCTTTGAGCTTTGAAAATTGGTATAGATAGGTCTTATTGAAATTTGGGAGTATTAGCCTATATCCATTGTCTTCAAATAGTTTTCTACTTTTCTGTCCTTTCCTCCTATCTTTCTTGGACTCCTGTTAAACATATTTCTGGTGGGCTTGATAGTGTCTCACTGTTCATTTTGCATTTTTTTCTCTTTCCTGCTCCTCAGAACCTGGATAATTTTTCAATTATCTGTCTTCATGTTGCTGATTCTTTCTTCCGCTGCTCAGATGTGTTGTTAAACCCCTGAGTGAATTTACCTTTAGTTATTGTACTTTTAGCTGAAGAAATTTATTTCCTTTTTATCATTTCTGTCTCTTTCTTGATATCCTTCACTTTGTTGTGACATTGTTGATTGTAATATCTTTTACTCTGAGTATAAATTTTTGTCAGATATGTCTTATATGTTTGTTCACATCTGTGTCCTCCTTTTTGTTTTCCCTAGCAATGTCTTTTGATTTAAAGTTTTAACTTTGATATTAGTTCATCCAATTTTCTTTTTTTTTTTTTTTTTCTTCCCAGTAAGAGACTCTTGGGAAGATCAATTTTTTTTGATGGGTGGTTCATAGGTCCATCTAAGAAGTCTTTGCCAAAACCCAAAGTCATGAAGATTTTTCCCTGTTTTCTTCTAGAAGTTGGTGTGTGTGTGGTGTGTGTGTGTTGTGAGAGAAGAGTAGAGAGAGAGAGCACCATTTTGAATTTAAGTTTGTGTATAAGGTTATATTCTTTTTTTTTCAAAGAAATATCAAGTTATTCAGTAACTATTCATCGAATAGACGAAATATAATTTTCCCCATTGAATTACCCTTGTATCTTTGTTAAGAAACAATTGTCTGAGTCTGTTTCTGGTCTTGCTGTTACATCCTGTCATGCAATATATCTTTCTTTCTTGGTCATACTGTCTTGATTGATATAATCTATAGGAACTCTATGAAATCACATAGTCCTAAAATCTCCTTGTTCTTCTTTTTAAATGGATCTTTGTATTACAAAGCCTTTACATTTTATATATATTTTAAAGTCAGCAGGCCAATGTTTCTATTAAAAAGAAGCCTGCCGGGGGGTTGATTGTGGATTGTGTAAATTGAATCTTAAAAAACATTGAGTCCATGAGCATCTCTGTCATGAGCAGTTGTCCTACTCTTCATTTACCTAGGTGTTCTCTAATTTCTCTCAGCAGCAATTTTATATGCTTTTCGAATATAAGTGTTTTTTGCACATCTTTGCCGAATTTTACTATTATGAAAAGAGAATTGTTCTTTATTTCATTTACCGAATTATTTGTTGCTATGATAAGGATACCAATTGTTTTGTATATTTCCCTTGTTTTCATTAGAATTGCTAAATACGTAG